TATTTTAAAAAAGGAATACTACTCCTTCTTTAATTCCTAGTAACTTCTTCCCTGCCCCTGCCCACCCCCACCCCCCATTATGAGTTGACAAAATGTCCAGTATTATGAGCTACCCAACGCCTTCATGTTATTTTTATAGGTCAAACATGACAGCATTTTTCCAAATCTAACTGCGGATGTGGAAAGAAGGGCAATTAGATCAGTGCATTATTAAATCATTGTTTTGGTTCTACTATTGACATTTTAGAATATAAAATGTGGAGAAGTTAACACAATATATACAGTACACGTATTTAGAGATTAATATCTGAAGAAGGAATATTTGAAAGTAATTGAGAATCTGGAGAGTTCAAGTTTGTCAGAATAGAAGGACTGTGCATTTTATAAGATAAGGACATAGTTGATAGTGTGAAGGGAATAAGTTTATAATTCCTGTCACTGGAAAATATACTATCCTATCCTGTCTGTTCTTCTGAGTAAAATGTATAGTAAGTACTGGATGTATTTAAAAGCTTGTTTTTAAAGAAAGCTTCGTTAAGTCTAGGGTTTGCAAAAAGCTGATGTAAATGCCAGAGTTAATGAAATTACAAAGAAGTGCTACAGGGAAACACATATTACACCTCTTAATAATGAGTTTAACTAGAAGACTTCCTCATTATCTACACATTACAAAAGAGATTTAGCGTAAGCAATAACATTCATTTTGGCAAGTTATAATTTCTTACCTTACCTCTCTAGAAACGTGTACAACAAAAAGTCCATTTTTTGGTCAGAGGAACAAAAACAGCAAGATCACTGGGGTTTGCCATTTGATTTATTGTGTTAACAACATGATGTACTGATAACATTTTGCTTTTCTTCTATATTAACCAAATTGTTCTTGACATGAAGAAAACAGACTATATGGAATTTATTTGTATTGCCCAGGCATGAATATTTATATCATATAGCAAACAAGTTTTACAAGACATATTTACAGCATACAGCATATAAATTCATAAGCATAAATTGCAAGCAGAAAATCAGTAGGTCTCACTGCATTCTCGTGCAAATATTGAGAAGGTGAAGAAAAAGTTCACAGATATTTGCTAATTGGTTATTTAACATGTCTGATACTCTATAAAACATATCAATAAAGTTATGAAAGACAGAAGAAGGAAAGGGTCATTTAAATTGCTTTAGAGTCACAATTTAAGAGACTTCCCTGGCCTTATTTTTTAGAAAGTTTTGAAATGTTTCAAATGTTTGAAATGATTAAAAAGTTTAATCTGGTAGTTAAATAAGTATAACAAGAAATGATTGATTGATGAATTTGATGATTCTTTTCCAAGGGTCCAGATAATGAATATATCATTAATGAGTCTTAAGTAAAGTTTTCAGAGGGTGTGGGTTGAGAAAGTATTGTTTAGGTCAGCCATGATGTAGGCACACTGTAGAGCCATGCATGGCTATGCCACTGATTTGCAAATATATGTTGTTGCCAAAGGTAATTATGGGTAAGTGCAAAGTCACATAGTCTAGTGACAAACCATACTGTGTTGACATCATTGATGATATTCTTGACTGCTTGGAGTACATGTTTGTGGAGGATGCTGGTGTATCCGTGATAGCTAAAATTGTATTGTCAGGGATTTCAATTGTCTCAGGAAGTTTGTGATGTCTCTTATGTAGCTAGGAGTGCTGGTGGTATAGCTGGTGGGACTAACAACTTTTTAGTAGTGTTAAGCCCTGGAAACTGTGGTTCTGGAAGGGAGATTTCAGAAGAACTCATACAATAAACACCTTTGGTGCTGTAGTCATGAGCCACCGAAATAGCAGTCTATGTGCTTCTCTACTGTCAATTGTATCATTCCCACATACCATCACATTGTCTCAGTGTTTGAAGTGGTTTACCTGAACTAAGAAAGTTTCACCTGTGCTATGTTCAAATAATCTTTTATTCCTTTTTGTTTTATCTTATTTTGTCTGTTACTTCCATGGCTTATGTTACATAAGGCTGGTTAATAACCAGAATAAAATACTTTTGAACTAGTTGCATCAAGAGTGTATCTTGGAAAGCATGGGCACGGAAGGAAAGAAGTGAAAGAAATGAAAGGTAGGATAACTGCAGAAACAGAAAATATGAGTTATGCATATATGTAAAATATATTAAAAGATAAATCAATCTACCAACAAAATGAATAGAAAGCAAACATTAGGAAAAGGAGTGTGGAATCTACTAGGAAGAGAGTGAAAAATTAATTATGTTACAGAGTGCCACAGAAATGTGTGAGGTATTTCCCAATGGGAAAGCATGCTTGATGGAATGATGAAGTGAAAGAGTCTATGGATGAGAAAAATGCATACAACTGATTGATTGCTGCAGAAAATATGATAAGGCTGCAAGAGTATATGGTATAATAGAAAAACGTTAAAGCATGTGATGTCCTTATAGAATGGCTGTGAAACATTGTGAATGCTGCATTTGTGCCTGACAATCAGAAGAATTGGGGTGTAGATTAGATAGATAGATAGATAGATAGATAGATAGATAGATAGATAGATAGATAGATAGATAGATAGATAGATTCAGGAACATGTGGAAACTGTAAGCTTCCCATCTCTGCCTAAGAAAACATACTAGGAACTATCGATTCATGTGATCCTAAGAACGTTTGTCATCACATTATTGCTGGGACTTATATTGCTTTGTGTGAGATCAATGTAATCTTTAGCTAGCTTTCATTTCTAATCAGACACAAAGTGACACAAAGTAATTCAGGATACTTGATAGAAATGTTAACATCTACTTTTATTAAAGATCAGAAAAATGTGTTTCAGGTCACAAATATATTGCACAATTTCGTATTTCATATGGTACAGATTACAAAAACGTTACAAAGTTTTTATATGAACCTAGTCAGAAGATGCAAAAGAGTTTTTCAAAATCAGGATCCAAAAATATATAGCAGTTTTCATATGCATGTGTAACGGTTGCAGGCCCCTTCTATTAAGTTGGACGCAGTAGCTGTGCAGAGAGGCATCTGATGGCAGGGGACCTTTTCAGGGGCACAAAAGAAACAACAGAATATAACAGAGAGCTTTTTAATTTTGGATTTTTTAATAGAAGGGAGAACAAGATGAGATGATGAGTAAAGGGGAGGAGAGCTCTCTTTTCTGGGACGAAGGTTACCAGTGTGAGAACTTAAACTATGTAAATTTCTTTATGTTCTATGTCTCCCAAAAGGAAAGAGACCTCTGAAAACAGTATTGGTTATGGCAGGTAAAGAATTCCTTTCTCAAACATAAACCGGCTCCTGGGAATTAGTTACACATTCCCTCTCTAGACCCCAGTAATCTTGGCCATCTTTGAAGTTTGCTTTTCTACCAACTAATGAAAACTACTACAGTAAATATCTATTCACAAATAATGGTAGAATGACTAAGTTGGAGATGGCTACTAAAAGCTATTGTCAATCTTTATAAACCTAGCAAATTTGTTTCATACAATTTACTCACAAGAAGGCAGGGGTTATTTAAGTTTATACCAGAAACAAAAAGTTCTTCACTATGATTTATCATATCTTCAAAAGAATGTATTTCCATTTTCAAGAGAAAAGCAATAGTGTAATACCTAGTGAAAAATAACATGATTTGCTATCATCATTATTAAACTAATATAATATACTATACAAATACTATACTTATTTGTGGATGGAAAAGAGGAAGGTATACTGGAGCTTTTTACATTGCAACAAAGATCAAAGCAAAGTATTCATTTAATATTTTTAAGGCACATCTTTACTCAGAAATATGCTTTTTTATATTCAATGAAACTTACTCCCAGGTAAGCATCCATGATTTTGCAACTTCATTCTTGTATTCCTCCTCTTACAATCACTAGCTGTTTATTTAAAAGTATACATGGATTCTGAAACAGTTAAATTGTTGACAAGTTGGGGACAGGTTTTCTGTCCCTGGGAGCATTTTCTGAGTGCCACCTCTCCCCATGTTCTGGAAATTCCTTCAATCACCTGGAACAGATTTGTGGGAAGCAGGGTTGGGTACGGCAGGAGAAACCAACCTAGATTACTGCATCTTTTTACAGTGCAAAAGTGGGATTCCTCTGCTCGATCAGAAGCTTCTAGTGTAGAACAGGAATCTTTCTGCCCACTGGTGGCAGAATCTGGATCCAGTCCAGGCATGTGCAGGATTGTGTCCCATTTTCTTACTCATCCAGAAGGTAAAGAATATCTAGATGACTATTTGCCCTAAATTTAAATAATCTAGCAATTGTTTCTTAAAACTGTATAAAACCTGAGTGATTTAATATTCTAGTTCTTTGAACACACATTTTATATTGAAGGAATATGAATGTCTTTACCTTGAAGGTAAATTAGTATCTTTTGTTATCCTGCTTTAAAACCAAAAGAGCAAATGTTATTCCTAATTCTAATGTTCAAAAGAAAGCCCCCATCATCATAATTTACAAGACAATCCCTATTTGCATAGTTTTTCTTGCACTCTAAAGATACCACCTACTGTGGAAATTTACTTGCATTACATGAAATAAAGGTACTGATATATAAGATACATTTTCTTTATGTTAGGCTAACAATGATCAAAATACTCATACACTAAATACATCAACATATGCACATGTATACATAGTATGTCTATATACACACTAAAATAATGCAGTAAATGATCAAAAATCAAGGAAGGCCTGTGTAAGGTATATAGTGTAGATTAACATCTCAGTAAACTCTACCACTGCTCCCAGGTAAAATCATCTCCTCCGCCAAATAGAACAAAAAACCCTAAAACTGTAAGAAAAATTACTGCGTTTCCAGCCAGCACAAGGCCACAAGCTCCCCACTTGATCTGAAATAGAAAATAAAATAAAATTAACCTTTTATTCATTGATACAAAATGTATGCTATTTTGAGCATTAGAGGAGTCCAAAGAAATACAACATCATGATGGTAAAAGCACTTAAGATAAAACACCAAATTTTAAGGGCCAAGAAAACTAATTATTATGTAATTAGTAGTCATTATAGAACTCATCAACTAATTTGCTAAAACGAACTAACATAAAAACAATTACAAGTCCTTGAATTGCTCAAGAGAGCAATTAATGAAAATTTACAAGAAAGCTCATCAAAACACAAAGCTAATTGTGAAGAATTATTTGTAAGCAATCAGCCAAAACTTTCATAAAACAGAAGTTTCCTGTCATCAGTACAAATCTGAAAGTTTGGATCTTCCCTCTTGCAAGGATTTCCTTACCCCAGCCCAATTTGGACTGAAATTTGAGAGGTGGAATAGAAACAAGATTTATTATTTTTTAAACAAGGAGTGAAACACTCACTTAAATAATGTTATAATATTACTATAAGGTTCATTTTGCTATGCATCTCTTTAAGCCATGATTCCTAAAATTCTTAATTCCAGAATTCATTCATGATTTGAATATTTTTCATATATCAACTACTGCTTTCTAACCCTGATTATCTGCCATCAAGTTACTCTCGACTCTTAGCGACCAAATAAAACCTTTATTATGGCCTTTAGGCCAGAGAATATTACCATAAAAATACATAAACCTATAATTAATAAAACTAAAAGGGAGACCTAAAATACAATAAAATTACATAAATTAATAAAGTAACAATAACACAGATAGCAGTGGCAATCACCAAAATTTGTACTACTTTTCAATCATAGGTAGGATGGGTGGCACACATTTGCTCCATGACTCTAACCCTGACTCTTAAACTTTAGAAAAAGGTTATTTTTAAGTGGCTTGCCACTGATTTTGGTGGTAATGTAGATGGATCTCTTGGAGCTACATCACAGTCTCAGTGAGGTTGTATATCATCCCCTGGCCACAGGTTGCTCCCCAAAGTTTATAATGCAATGAAGTAGTTGAATGGTTATAGTATATAGGATATAAATCAACTTTAGTTGCTTTAGTTACAGCTGCTATGGGGAAGGATCATCAAGCTGGCTTGCTATAAATGATTAGGTGGAAAAGCTGTCATTGTTTATATATGTATGCCAAAGATAATAACATATACCAACTATGATTGGTAGTTAAAAGGCCCATAAAGAAGCAGTGGACATCAGTAAAGTACTGGAAGATCGTAATCAAGTTAACAACTGGTGAGAAATTTTGGACAGTTTTTTTTTTTAAAGGTCACTCAGAAGTCAATTAGTTGTTTGTTAAAAGACGCCCAAAAAGCAAAGGACTATGAGCTATTCTTGAAACACAGCAACTATCTTTTTAGGATGACTTGACATCTTTTATCTTTGTTCATCTTATAAATTTGTCTCTGCTGGTGGCCTGGCATAGTTTCTATAAAGAGAATGTACATTGGTGCTAAAGTTAAAAGTTTTGCAACCGATGCAGCATTCCCCATCTATGAGGACTGAGAACTTTGATTAAATATTGTGCAAGAATGTTAGTATGCCAAGCCTCAAATTGCTGAAAAGGGAAGTTAAGAGGTCAGCCACACTGTTTCATCACCTTATGTTTTGTATCTAGTGGAATAAGTTAATAATGTTTGCTAAGACATCGTTATAGAAATAGTTATAGAAAAACCACAGTGTTTGGAAACCTGTTTCAGATCATAAAAGCTCTCCACTGAAACTTCAGAAACAGAAGCTCTAAATCTTTCAGCCAGTAATTATAACAGAAGAAAGTAGTGTGAGCTAGCATGGTCAAAGATAGATTGATTCAGACATAATTATCCTAGTCCAGGTGCAGTTTGTTTGATCAGGAACAAGCTGTGTGTTTAATCCTTCATCTCTGTTTTTCATACTTCAGTACTTCCAGATTTTGTTAAACCATAATTCCCCAATTCAGATGTCACGGAAAATTGCAATTTAACAAACCAGTGATGTAAAAGGCAGGAGAAAATGGGAGAAGGAAGCATGCACATATGTTATGTTTTCATATCAAACAAGTAAATGGAGAGGTGCTTGAACAAAATATTATGTGGCACAATGCATTTTGGGTACCATAATTAGAAAGTGTACCAAAAGCGTTTTTTTTAAAAGAAGACAGACATATCACTTATGTTCAAACCATTCATGCTTTGAAGGAATACTACAAAGAGTATCATGGAGGCGTAAATCAAGCACACTACAAGGTATAAATCAACTCCTTTTCCAAGAGCATGTTTTTCTTTACATACTTTCCTGTTAAAAGCCAAAATAAAATTATTTTATTTAAAAAAATATTAAAACAAGATGCGTTTTAGCCTCCATAGATTATGGATCCCCACCCCCAAAAAATTATTAAATTTGGTAAGTCTGAGAAGAGGAGGACAAGGAGATGGGGAGGAAGACAATGGATAAGGTGGATGGATGAAATCAAAGCAATCACCTTCCTGAGATGGGAAGCCTTTGTCCATAGAGCTGAGCCCAACACAGTGGTACTTCATTAACTAGACATCTCAGAGACACTTCTGAACAAGGGTGTCTGCAGGGCAGATCAAAAATGTCAAAATGGCAGACAGGACCAGGCAATCAAAATCCTGCCCCTTTTTACACGCATGTGATACATGCAATACACATCTAAAAGGGGTGAGGCTTCAATCCCCCAGTTGTGCCTGCCTTTTTACATTGCTAATCCCCCTCAGAAGCCTCTGCTTCTGGGATTAGTCCCCCAAGTATCACTTACCAAAGAAAACCAGATAATCTATTTCTTTATTAAAATATTGATGATCTCCATTTTTATTTTATTAATATTTTTGGTCAAAAACTGAAATAGATTTAAATACTTGGTGCTACAGTACCTCTGCCTCCAACTCTAGGTCTTTTCATAATTATTTTTCATATAAATAATGCAGCTAAGGGGCTGATAATCTATGAGACTAAAGCCGAAAAAATAATAAACATGCTGGCTACAGAGAAAACCCCATTTAATAAGTGGAGCTTTAGTTCAAAATAAATAAGCTTCAGATTGTCCTATATGTGCCATTGATACCAATCTGATAAAGTAAATGTGCTTGTTACCAAGCTACATGACATCATGCTTTTAATGTTCAGAAATACACCAAATAAATCAACAGTATATCAAGTTATACATTATTCATTTCATTTTCTTATGATGAATCTGAAGATGTATGGATATGGCATAGCTTACATTTCCTCTCCAAACAAAATTGTAAGAAAATGTTTTTCTCCATTTCATATTTTTAACCATTGGCAAAATTTATTTTAGTAAGAATAGGAAAGAATTAGAGCTCTCTCTAGTGGTATGACTGTAGTATTCTTTTTTTCTTATATTGTATCATTCATAAGAAAAAAATACATTTGGCTAAATGTACTAAACAGCAGAAAATATTAGGTGTTATTGCTGGGAAAAATATTCTCAAAAATTGGCTAGATAATTTTATAGCTGCAACAAGTCAAAGAACTAACACTAAAGATCTGGAATTAAGAAATTGAGAAAGAATTCTATAATTAAAGATAAGAAGTTGAAATACATTTATACAGTTATGTTTTAAAAAGAAAGCCCATTATTTAATCATCAGGACAAGCTCAAAAACTGAAGAAATGCATTGTATTGTTTCACCAGGTGTCCTCTTCCGTAACTGGTCCCACTGGGCACTCAGTGAATTACAACAAACATAATTAAAGGAATTACAATAAACAAACAATGTAAACAGAATTAATGTTGAGAACAATTAGGATAGGCTGGAAGGAGACTTATCACTGAATGTAGCAACCAAGAGTAACAAGATATGTAAAACTAATGGAATGCAATAGCACCAGAGCATATTTTTTACCATTGTTGCATTTTCCATTCATTCTAAATGTAACCAAAATCTGTCTGGGCTATCATTGTCTACCATGACTGCATATAATACATTTACTCCCACTGGTGGAAAGGGAGACACAGTAAAAAAATATATACAGTGGGGCAAAAAAA